GCGGGCGTGAGAATGTGCCCCAATCACGGGCAGCGTTTCTGAAAGACTCGTCGATGTTTGTCATGAGGACTTGTGTTGAGATGTTGTGGAGCTATGGGCATCTCACGCCAGAGGTTGAGGCATGCGTGAGCAGGAATTGGCAGAGGTCAAAGACCGACCGTATTGTCATGTATAGAAATGTGTCCGGCGATTCATTGTTTGAGCGCGGTGCCTCAGTTGTTTGCGAGTCGTTTCAATTTGAGTGAGCGGCCAGGGTCTTTCCTTGTCTTCGGTTTCCGCAGCAGACTTCGTACGACAAAACCACAGCTGCCGTGCCAGATTCTGCACGGCCATGTCACAGCGGGTTTTCCCCGATCAGTTTGCCTACTGGGTTTTTACTTGGTTAAAGGTTGGTGCCTCCAATTGTAACTTTACCCGTTGCTCGGAGGTTCCTCGGGTTCCCCGCCTGCAGTGCCTCCTATTCTTACGTTGTCCGTTTCCCGGAGGTTCTTCGGGCTCCCCAGGTTCCTCGGGTTCCCCATCCCCGGTGCCTCTTGTTGTTGCGTTGCCCGTTCCTCGCAGGTTCCTCGGGTTCAGGTTCCTCGGGTGCCCCGGGCTCCGCGGGTTCACAGCCCCCGGTTGCACCAAGCAGTGCCAAGCAATGCCAAGCCAGCCATTTTAAAGCAATGCCAAGCAATGCCTTCCCATGCCAAGCAATGCCTTCCCATGCCAAGCAATGCCAAGCAATGAAAGCAATGCCAAGCGATGCCAAGCATCGCCAACCCATGCCAAGCGACGCCAAGCGATGCGCCCAGCGATGCGCCCAGCGATGCGCCCATGCGATGGGCCTTCCCCTAATTGGAGCCGCGCCGGGCTGTCTGTGCACGCGTACCGGGGGACCGGGCCCGGGGGGCCAGGGACGGAGCCCCTACCACAAGTGTGTGCCAGGCGCTGGGCGCGCCTTCGAGGGGCTCCAAATCGCCCCGGGGAGCTCTCAGACAGCCGTCCTGGCGGCCCCCGACGGCCCCGGCACACCCCCAAGACGCTCTCCAGGGGTTTCTGGCGGCCCACGATACGTCTTCGACTGCCGAAGAGGCCCCCAAGGCACCACAAGAAGGCTCCAAGAGAACCCCTGAGAGAGCCCCCAGAGCCCAAATTCATTGATTGCCCATCGGTTTTGCATGATTTTGGCCTTCTCGCCTTTTCGGCTTTCTGACGCTCCAAGACAGCCCAAGAGTTCCCCAAGACCGCCCCAAGACGGCCCACGAAGCCCCAAAGAGGACCCCAAGACGGCCCAGGAGGGCCCCTAAACGGCCCAGAGGCATCCAAGACGGGCCAGGAGGGCCCCCAAACAGCCCCAAGAAGTGCCCAAGAGGAGACGCCCGAATCATACATTCCAGCTTTCCTCCCCAAGAGACCCCCAGGTGGGCCCAAGAGGACCCCAAGAGACCCCTCAGAGGCGCTCCAGAGACCCCCAGGAGGCCCTGAACACACGCAAGAAAGCTTTAAGAGGATCCCCAAGACAGTCCCGAGAGCCCAAATTCATTGATTTGCCATTTTGAATTCTATTTGTCTTCTTGCCTGTTCGGTTTTTCGTGCGGTGCGTGCGCGCGTGCGTGCGTGCGTGTGTGTGTGTGTGTGTGTGTGTGTGTGCGTGTGTGTTTGTGTGTGTGGGTGGGTGCGTGCGGGCGGGCGGGCGGGCGTGTGCGTGTGCGTGTGCGTGTGCGTGTGCGTGTGCGTGTGCGTCTATGTGAGTGTGTGGGTGTGTGTGTGTGGGTGTGCGTGTGCGTGTGCGTGTGCGTGTACGTGTACGTGTGCGTCTGCGTCTGCGTCTGCGTCTGCGTGTGCGTGTGCGTATTCGTGCGTGCGTGCGCGCGCGCGCGTGTGTGTGTGTGTGTGTGTGTGTGTGTGTGTGCGTGTGTGTGTGTGTGTCTCAATGTAAATGTGAATGTGACTGTGAATGCGCATGTGAATGTCAATGTGCATGTGTGCGTGTGTGAAAAAGGGGATAACGACGAGCACTGCGCTGGGGCAGAGGTGCAATAATGAAGGGAGGTCAGGGATCCCGAAGAAGCCCCTCCCTCCCTCCCGATCTGTGTATATACCCGACGATCTGTGTGAGCGCGGAGGGGGGCATGCATGCACGTTTCCGACGACGAGAGTGAGGAAGTCCGGAGCACGACGGACAAGACGAGCTCGCCTTGCGCCGCCTTGTCGCGCAGGCCCGCTTCGCGCCTGTCTGGCCCCTGGCGCCAGATCAAGCCACCGCAGACGACGAAAGCTTGCGCAGTGCTGGGACAAGACCTGCGCGCTGCCCTCGCAGTCGGCCCCAGTGGGCGGACCACGAGGGCGCGGCCGACCACCTGGTAGGCGATGCGTCTCCTACATATTCACTTCGAGACGCTTTTTGCCAGTCGCCACCCGGCGAAATCGTGGAGACGCAACACCAAGCGGCAGAGCTGGGCACCTGCCCGCCAGCTGGCGGCGCGAGCTCGGACGGGCGCACGATCCCCGAGCTCGACAGGCCGAGCGGCCAGGCTTCCTCCTCCTGGTGACCCTCCTGGGATAGTTCGGACGGCAGAATGGCAGTCGCCGCTTTGGGCGGCAGGGGCAGTGGCGCACGATGGACGCGCGCCTCCCGCCGATCCCCCCACCAATCATGGCCCGCGTGCCCGCTGTGGAAACATCGTCTGGAGACAGACCTTGCGTCGCCCGGCTACTGCAAGGAGACCTCTGGAGGATGGTCAAGGAGGCGTGGGCTGACTCCCCGTGGATTCGTGAACAATGGGGCCCCTTTCACCTGGGACTAGAGAACCCAAGGGCCAGGGCGGGCTCGCCCAGAAGTGGTCCCCAGACAGATCGTGATCGACTTCCTGCACACCCTACCAGCGCACGGGCGGCAGCCTGCTGGCACGGGCGCCCCGCCATTCTCGACTGGCCCGATTCCCAAGCGCAAAGCAGTCGACGACGCCAACTCAGCCGGAGACCCACCAATCATGACCCACGCGCCCGCCGCTGAGGCACCGTCTGAGGACAGACCTCGCATCGCCAGGCTATGGCAAAGTGACATTTGGCGGACGCTCAAGGAGGCGTGGGCTGACTCCTCGTGGACTCGTGAGCAATGTGATCGCTTCGACAGGTTGTGATCGATTGCCTGCGCTCCCGCCAGTCTCGAGTGGCCCGATTGGCCAGCGCAAAGCAGTCGACGACTGCGACTCGGCCAGACACCGGGCTCGCCCAGAGGGCGCCTGCGAGAAGCAGCTCGGGGCCCACATCAAGCGGCAGCGGGGCCAGAACATGACGCGAGATTGTGAGTAGGCCATCGCGATGCAGTCGCCTATTCCGGTCGGTCATGCACTGGTGACCCACCGTTTTGTCCCCGCATTTGCCCTGCCACGCACTGGTCAGTCGCGCTGCTCGCGCGCCGATCCGTCGCTTCAGGGGCTTCGCTCCTTCCCGCTCTGGCCTGGCGGCGTTTCACTCACCCGTGCCTCCGCCACTCCTGGCCTTCGGTCACGCGGCGCTGTGTTTTTTGTCTGGGCGGCGCGGCGTTCCCGCCGCCCCCGGCGGCGCCCCCCTCCGCGGCGGTTCGTCGGTCCCCGCCTCCGCTTCGTGGGTCGCGGGGCTCGCTCGATCGTCGCCGTCTCGATCGTGGGCTCGGGCCGCGTCGCGGGGCCCCCCGCCGTCGTCTATCCGGGCGACCATCCCGCCTCTGCCCCTGCATGCTCTGTTCCCCCTCTCCCCTTAAGCCCCCGCCGCGGGAGGGTGAGCCCCTTCTGCGCGCGCGCCTGGCGGTCGTGGCTGGCGTGGTTCCTCTTCCCCCTTTTCGCTATTCCCCCCCCCCCCGTGTCTCCTCCTCCACGGGGCGCCCTATGTCGAGTTGGTGGCGACCTTGACGTCGGCGCGTATAGCGCACCTCGCGCTATCACCTGTGCTGCTCGATCTACGGTCGGTATTCAGTTTATTGCTGCACTGGTGCCCTACCAATCACTTTGGTCGGCGTTGTTGCAGTCTTTTTTCGACCGACCAAGGGTGCGTCCTTGACGCTGGCCTCTTGCGGTGCCGCGGCTACGAGCCAAGGATTTTTCGGCGTGGCTTCACTCGGCCGGTTTCGGCTTTGCGCGTGCATTTTTCTACGTGCGCTGCGCGCCCCGCCACCACCTAACCTTGCTGGTTTTCGTTCCAGGGGGTATGTTATGCATTTTGCGTTGCCGGTCCGTTGGTTAGCATCTTACCTGCCTGACCTCAGTTGATCTGGGCGCATTACCCCACCCATATGCTGGTCTGGCAGCAATTACAACCTCTTCTGCGCCTCACTGCCTAACGCCGTCGCGGCTGCGATCCAGCGGCCGCCAATTAGCGCCAGTCAGCGTGCACTTCAGTTCACTTTGAGTTGAGTCTCCTCCTCAGTTTTGCTTCCCGCTGCACGTGTGCGTTTCGGATTCTTGCCCCTCTAATTCGCTCGCCACTTATCGCTTGCTGTGTGTCCGTCTGTCTGTTTATCTGTCTGTCTCTTTGTCTGTTTATGCGTGTGCGTGTGTGTGCGTGCGTGCGTGCGCGTGCGTTCTCGCTCGCGCGTCCGCGGGCGCGCGCGGCCCCGCGTCTGTCTGCGCCGCTGGGGCGTGGCCAGAAGAGGCGGCGCGGCTGGGGTGATGCAGGTGCGCAACAGCAGATGCTTGCGTGATCGCGGTGCGCGCGCGTGCGTGTGCGCGTGCGCGTGTGCGTGTGCGTGCGCGCGCGCGCTCGCGCGCGGCTTTGGGGGGCGATGAAAAGGGGGTATTCGCAGCGGCGCCTTGCGCGCAATGCGCGCGACGGGTGGATGCGCAAGTGCCCCGTGCTTGCGCGCGCTTGCGCGCGCGGGCGCATGAGTGCTCGCGCGCTCGCGCGTCTATCCTCGCGCGCGCATGCGACGTGGCGGCCCGGCTGCAGCTGGGCCGCGCTGTTGCCCGGCTGCAGCTGGGCCACCGGAGGGCGTCCAGGCGGTCGACGAAGGCGACGGCCTCGGGGGCGGCGCCCCCGATATGGCGGCGACCCACATGGCGCGCAGTTTCAGGCGCAATTGCCGACCACTCGCGGCCGCAACTGCACGCGAAACTTGCCGCTCGCGCGCGCGGCCGCGCGGCGCGCGGAGTGCGCCGCTGCCGCCGCGTGAAGGCATAAGCCGCCTTTAGTTTCAGTCACCAGAAGAAGATTGCGCACGCCGCTTCGCGACGTGCCTTTTTTTTTCCGGCCCCTGAAGCCAATGCGCGCCGCGCGCCCTCGGGCTCGGGCGAGCGGGCCTCGAGCTCGCGCGCGCTGTTCACGCGCGCGCTGGGGGCAGCGTGAAAGGGCGGAACAGGGTGAGGGGGGGGGCATTGAAGGCGGCGACGAGGGGGTGGGGCAGCGGCGAAGCAGATGGTGGGCCAGTGAGGGGGCTTGGGCGAGATGCGGCGATGCGTCGTTCATTCGCCAACGCCGATGCACATTTGCGCGATTGCCGTGAATTCGGCTGATCACATCGCCTGTCCGCGCGCCGTCGGCGTCGCATCCCCGTCGCATCCCCGGCTGCAGCCGACGACCATATAGGGCGCTGTAACACCCCATCTGGTCGAGGGCGTGATATTGTTCCCCGCAGGTGTCGCAAGCGTCGGCTGCAGCCGTCGCGTTTAGGCATCGCGCCGCCCGCGCTACGCGCCGCCTTCGCCGCCGTGGGGCTGATGGAGCTGCTGAGGTGCAGAGTGCGGAGGAGCTGGTGGAACTGCAGCTCGCGCTCCAGCATCACTTGCGCCACCGCGCGCAGCAGATGAAGCAGGGGCGCGGGCTGCAGGCGCCGCGCGAACGCACGCTGCCGCGGCAACAGCGTCTGCGGCGGCAGCAGCTCGCGCGCAGCGGCACCCGATGCAGCAGCAGTGCGCGGCGAAACTGCAGCAGCAGCACGCCGCGCAGACGTTGCAGCAGCTGCAGCAGCAACAGCTACAGCTGCAGCTGCTGCAGCAGCTGCATCAGCCGCAGCTGCAGCAGCAGCAGCAGGGCAAGTACGAGCAGCAGCAGCAGCAGCAGCAGCAGCAGCAGCAGCAGTCGCATCAGCAGCATGTGCAGCAGCAGCAGCACCACCAGCCGCAACTGCAGCTGCGGCCCCGCGGCAACGATCAGCGCCCCTGCCGCCCAGGGTTCCGGCGGGGCCAGGCGCTGCTACTGTCGGATATGGCGCTGCGGGGCAGCTCGCCCGAGCGCGCGCGCCAGTTGGCGCGCGCTCTTTTCGGGCAAACCATTGCAGGGCGCGGCGCGGGCGGCCTGTGGAACAGGGGGGAGATAGAAGAGGAATCGTCGTCGTCGTCGTCGCCAGAGGAGGAGGGGGGGGCGGAGGAGGTGGAGGAGGAGGAGGAGGAGGCGGCGGCGGGGGGGGCGGGGGAAGGCGAGGGCGAGGAGGGAGGAGGGCGAGAAGGATGAGACGGAGGAGAAGGAATAATCCCCGTGAGGCATCGCGCGGGGTCTCTCGGGGGCCGCTAGGGGACATGTCGGGGCCGCCCGGGCGCCCCGCAGGGCCCCCTCGGGGGGCCTTCGGGAACTTAGCGGGCGCCCCTGGGGCCGCGTTGGGGGGGCTTCGGCAGAGCGAGGCGGGGGCCTCAATCCGCGCGCCCCCCCCCCCCCTCGGGCGCGCCCAACGTTGCAGATTGGCGCCCTGTTTGGGCGCTCCTGGGGCACTCCTGGGCGCGCGCGAGGCCGTCTCAAGGCTCGCATGGGCCCCTCTCGGGGCCCTCCCGGGTCGTCTCGGCGCCATCGCGAGGCCCCCGAAGGCGATCGAAAGGGGGGGGGGCGACGATGCCGCCATCATCGGTGTTCCCGATGCGTTTTGAAGGATCATGGCTCCTTGGGGGTCTCATTGGGGGCTGTCTTGTAGCGTTAGCGTTGCATGCTGGAGCATCCTGGGGCCGACGTGGAGGCGCCCCATGTTATATTGAGCCATCTCTGAGGTCATCTTGGGCCCAATGGGGCCACATTGGGACCGCCTGGGGACACGTTGGGCGCCCCATCGCCTGCCCCTCCCCCCGCCCAGGTCCAGGGGGGGCGGCAGACCCTTCCCCGAGGGGGGAGAGGGGGGTTGGAAGAGGAAACGCCATGGGCCACCTACGCCCAGAGGGTTGCAGCCCTCGGGGCGTAGGTGGCCTAGGTGGCCCGAGTGTCGAATCTCGCGCTGTCGACGCGGCGTGCAGCCGCGCCTCGCCGCGAGCCTTCTGGGGATGTCCGCGTCGCCCCGGACCGTCGCGGGAAGTTCGAGTCATGGGCCGAAAGCTGTCGACGTCTTCGTTCCGCGGGCCAAGTCGCGCCGGGTCGGCCGTTGGGGGCGCGCCCCCCGCGGCTCGCACGGTCGTCGGCTGCGTCGCCCCGCCGACGCCATTTGGCTGGAGCTGTATCTTCGCCCCGCCGCCGCCGCCGCCCTCCGCCGCGAGCGCGGCGCCGCGCGCGGCGTTTTTCTGGGCGGCGGGGGGCGAGGCGGCGCCCTGGGAGACGGCCGTGCTCCAGCCCCATGCATGCAGACAGGTCCTGAGTGCAGGGCCATTTCGCCGACGTCGGTGGTTGCGCCCTGCTGCGCTTCCTCAGCGAGCCCGCGGCGTCGCCGATGTGCGCGGGGATGGGGGGCAACGAATGTGAGCTACAGCTCGCCAGCGCCCCATAAAATGCAATGGGGTGCAGACTCATATAGTCTGAGCTACAGGTGCAGCCATGCGCGCGCGCATGCACGCGCGCGCGTGCACGGATGTATAATTGCACATGTCAGCGCAGCAAACTGCTACGCAGTAGTCTACCACGCAGCAGCACAGCAAAACGCACCACCGCAGGACGCAACACAGCACAATACAGCACAGCAACCTGCAGCACAGCAAACCGCAATGCAGCAAACCACAGCACAGCAAACGAGCGAGTTGCAGCTCGATGCTCAATTCGCCCGTTCCTATGTGCACACATAAGCGCAATCACACCTGTGCGGATGGCGCGCCCAGTCCCAGGCCACGCGGGCTGGCGCCTCTTCGCGGGCTCGGAGGCGCCCGCCGCCTGGGCCGCGGGGGGGGGGGGGGCGGGCACCAGGGGCTCCGCGGTGCCGCCGCTGATGGGCTGGCGCGCGCCGCCGGCCCGCTCGATGCCCAATCTGACACTGCAACGTCGGACTCGCGGCGTCGAGCCAGGGCCCGTGGCTGGCGGCGGCGGGGGCGACGGCGGCAATGGCGGCAGCGGCGGGGGCGACCGCGGCGCCGCGCCGTCTGCCGCCCGCGCGCCGTCGGCGTTGCCGGCGCCGTCGCGCGCGCCACGCATGCGCGGCGTCGCGACGGAACAGCGTCGCAGCGGCGACCATGCTCAGCGGACGGGATCGCCCATGCGCGAGGCTGCAGCGCTCACAACCGCCGACCGCCACTTGCCCACGATGCTTCATCAGCATCCGCCAACCTTGCGCACCGCCAGCGAAGCGGTGACGGGTGGGCGGTGATGATATGTCGATGGCATGGGTCGGCGGCAGTGAGGGTTGCCATCGTCGGGCGCGGTTTGCGCTGCCATGTAGGGCGCGGGGCCCGCGCGGCCACCGCCGTTCCCGCCGCCGCCCCCGCAGCCGGCGGCCGCGGCGCGGCTGCGGCTGCAGCCCGCGGCCATGGCGCCATCCGACGGCGTCCGCCTGCGGTCGCGCGCGGCCCCGCGCCCCCCCCCCCGCGCGGGCGCCGCGCGACCGCGCCGCCGCGCGGGCCCGCCAAGGCCCTGCGCCGCCCGATCGGCGGGAGCGGCGCCGCCAGCGCGGCCGATGGCGACTAGGGCGCCTGGCTCTCCTCCACGAGCGCCCGAATGCCCGAAAGCCCGGGGCAGGCCAGGCCCAATCGATGATGGATTGGGGCGAGGGCGCCCGCTCCCGCGCCACCGGGCCCTGCGCGATCCCGCGCGACCAATGCTATCGCTGCGTCGTCGGGCCGATCCTCTGCGCCCGATGGGGCGCGCCCCGCTGCGGCTGCGAGCTCCGCCCCCCGTCTGTCTGCGAGACCCTCGCCGCGCGTCGCGGCCTCCAGTCCCGCGCCCAGGCTGCGCGAGGGGCCGACGCTGGCTTCCTTGATCACGTCGTGGAGCGTCTGCGCCGGCAAAATGTTTGAGTTCTTGCGCAGAGATACGATTGGGCCACATCGGTTGGAGGGTGAGCAGGACGGGGGGGGGATGGCCCGTGCTGTTATTGCACATGCTGGGGCCGTCTCGGAGCTTGGCGCGGGATTGCGATGGGCCGACGGTCTGCCGCCCGTTTAAAACCGATGGGCCCAGGTATCCAATCCGTTGAAGTCTTTCCCCCGCCGCCCTCCGCCAGCCCCCTCCAGCTGCCCCTGGCCCCCTGCCCCGCCCATGCGCGCGTCGGCCGTAGATGGTTTTGCTGGTTCTTCGTGGAAGGACGGCGGGGCGGTCGCGTTTTTTTTTTTTTTTTTTTTTTTTTTTTATTATATATATATATATATATATATATATATATGTTGCCTGGGCGACGCGTGGGCGGGGCGGCGGGTGGAAGGGAGGCGCGAATGTAGACGGCGCTTGTTTTGAATCGGAACCGCGCCTAGCCCCGGCAACGCGCGCCCCTTTGCGGCAGTAGTCTTAAGCCTGACATGGCCTCCTACACGATGAAATAGGACAACCAATAGAAACAACATGGGTGATTTCTCATGTCATGCCCCAAGTTATTCCAAACATAGTATGGACATAACATTCTGGATGCTGGCTAGGCGAGCGCGCGATGCGCGCGGTTGGGACACACGCTGCGCCGCGCGGCGTCGCCATCATTTGTTTCGCCGCGCGTGGCGGCGGCAGCGCGCGCTATCGCGTTTAGCAGAGGGGCGCGGACATGGCGACGTGGTTTGTGCAACGCGCGCAAAGAGGGTCGACCGCGCGCTTCCGTCTTGGACTGGATGCGCGGCGCCGCGATCAGATTTGCGCGCGGCGTGAGCACTTCGACGAGTGCCCTCTGGGCAGCCGACAGATGCCCTGCAGCTTTGGATCCCTGTGTTGTTTCTCTTCTGCTTCCGTCTTGTTACACGCGTCCACAAAAGCCGCCCGATCAGTGTTTGCGGCCGCTGGAATTGAAGTTCTCGCTGCAAAGCTCCAGTATCCCCCCCCCCCCCTTCGCGCCCTCGCACCTGCGCGCCATCCTTGTGCATCCTTCCCGCCCTATTCCTTTTCAGCACGGGTGGTGCGCATAGGCTGACGCATCCCGCGTTCGGCCACTGGTCTCGTTCGGCAACGGCGCGGGGTCTTTTGCGCGAGGGGCAATCCATGCAGGACAAGGCATAACCCCTTTCGATGCCATCATCGAGTATATCTGCGTGGAGTAGGAGGAGTTGAGATGGAGTGCGGCAGGAGTGGGCCGGGGGGTGTCCGGGAGTCCGGTTGATTGCAATTGGGCGCCGCATAAGGTTAGAGCCAGTTCCGAATAGGGCCGAATTCGGCTCGGCGTAGAGATGACACGTGGAAACACGCCGTTTTTATACAAACAAGAAGAAGAGGAGGCTTGCATGTGCCGTTGTAGTGGGGTAGAGTCGAGAAAAGGGGCATTCAGGCACGCGTTGGGGCAAGGCACGATTAGGGCTACATGAGCACATTTGCTTATACACCTACAAGCACAGCATTATTGATCTTGATCCACTGGATCGGCCAGGTGTTCGCGCGCATCGCGTGCAGCCAACTAATTCAACCAGGGCAGAGTGACATGCTTACTTGCATGCACGTGCGCGTCTGTATACATATCCTCATGTGTACAGATCGCGCGTAGTAGAGCAGGACCGGGAGCCCGCGGCGTCTCTCTCCAGTCATCGCCAGCGCAGCCGGGGCAGAGCACAGACAAGCATCCTCGCCAGCACAGCAGTAGCACTTCGGATGCCCAGAGCGTGTGTCCGACAAGCCCCGTGGGCTAACAAACTATTCCAACGCAGGATGTCGCGCGCTCGCCGACGCGCAAAATGTTCCACTGGTGGCTTTCAAGCCCATTGAGCGTGCGCAGCCTATTTCGGGTCCTCACAAAATATGTCCCGCAGGCTTCAAGAGTTGAAGACAAGTGCCTCCGCAGATTTCGTGCGTTGAAGAATTGCCCCCAAGATGATCCAAATTTATTCCAACATATTCCAGACGCACTCCAGCGCGATTTGCGAAATTTCAAATTATCCCGGCAAAGCAACCGAACAGCGATGTGTAGGAGCATATCTGGAAGCATTCCCCTTTAATATTCAGATGAGAACCCAGTTGTAGAATTCCGCTGTTCTCGCAGTCGTAGTCGCATTCGCGATGGAAGTCGCAGCGGCAACGGCAGTCGCAGTCACAGCTTCAGCCTCAGCCTGCCTCAGCCTCAGCCTCAGCCTGCCTCAGCCTCAGCCTGCCTCAGCCTCAGCATCAGCCTGCTTCAGCCTCAGCCTCAGTCTGCCTTCAGCCCCGGCCTCAGCCTCAGCCTGCCTCAGCCTCACCCTGCATCAGCCTCAGCCTCAGCCTCAGCCTGCCTCAGCACCAGCCTGCCTCAGCCTCAGCCTCAGCCTGCCTCTGCCTCAGCATCAGCTTGCTTCAGCCTCAGCCTCAGCCTCAGCCTGCCTCAGCATCAGCCTGCCTCAGCCTCAGCCTCCGCCTCAGCCTGCCTCAGCCTCAGCCTCAGCCTGCTTCAGCCTCAGCCTCAGTCTGCCTGCAGCCTTGGCCTCAGCCTCAGCCTGCCTCAGCCCGAGCCTGCCTCAGCCTCAGCCAGCCTCAGCCCTCAGCCTCAGCCTCAGCCTCAGCCTCAGCCTCAGCCTCAGCCTGCTTCAGCCTCAGCCTCAGCCTCAGCCTGCCTCAGCCTCAGCCTGCCTCAGCCTCAGCCTGCATCAACCTCAGCCTCAGCCTCAGCCTCAGCCTGCCTCAGCATCAGCCTGCCTCAGCCTCAGCCTCAGCCTCAGCCTCAGCCTCAGCCTCAGCCTCAGCCTGCTTCAGCCTCAGCCTCAGTCTGCCTGCAGCCTTGGCCTCAGCCTCCGCCTGCCTCAGCATCAGCCTGCCTCAGCCTCAGCCTCAGCCTCTGCCTGCCTCAGCCTCTGCCTGCCTCAGCATCAGCCTGCCTCAGCCTCAGCCTCAGCCTGCCTCAGCCTCAGCCTCAGCCTGCTTCAGCCTCAGCCTCAGTCTGCCTTCAGCCTCGGCCTTAACCTCAGCCTGCCTCAGCCTCAGCCTGCATCAGCCTCAGCCTCAGCCTCAGCCTGCCTCAGCACAAGCCTGCCTCAGCCTCAGCCTCAGCCTGCCTCTGCCTCAGCCTCAGCCTGCTTCAGCCTCAGACTCAATATGTCTTCAGCCTCGGCCTCAGCCTCAGCCTGCCTCAGCTTCAGCCTGCATCAGCCTCAGCCTCAGCCTCAGCCTGCCTCAGCATCAGCCTGCCTCAGCCTCAGCCTCAGCCTGCCTTTGCCTCAGCCTCAGCTTGCTTCCGCCTCAGCCTCAGTCTGCCTCAGCCTCGGCCTCAGCCTCAGCCTGCCTCAGCCTCAGCCTGCATCAGCCGCAGCCTCAGCCTCAGCCTCAGCCTGCCTCCGCATCAGCCTGCCTCAGCCTCAGCCTCAGCCTGCCTCAGCCTCAGCCTCAGCCTCAGCTTGCTTCAGCCTCAGCCTCAGCCTGCCTCAGCACCAGCCTGCCTCAGCCTCAGCCTCAGCCTGCCTCTGCCTCAGCCTCAGCCTGCTTCAGCCTCAGCCTCAGCCTGCCTCAGCCTCAGCCTCAGCCTGCTTCAGCCTCAGCCTCAGTCTGCCTTCAGTCTCGGCCTCAGCCTCAGCCTGCCTCAGCTTCAGCCTGCCTCAGCCTCAGTATCAGCTTGCCTCAGCATTCAAAATGTGGCCTGGGAGTGGAGTTCTGGGAACTCGAAGAACACGAAGTGGCCTACAGTTGGCTCCGGGCATTCAAATTCATGCCCAGGAATGCAGTTCTGGAAACTCGAAGACCACGAAGTGGCTTACAGTTGGCTCCGGGCATCCAAAATCATGCCCAGGAGTGGAGTTCTGGGAATTCGAAGACCACGAAGTGCGTTACTCTTGGCTAAGAAAGGAGTCTCCGGATTCCCCCGGATCCCGTCCGGATCCCGCCCAGACCCCCCTGGGGAGTCAAGATGTTTTTTTTTGACACCACTAGAAACCTATCATTCTTTGTTGTTAGGTACAGATTCCACAGACACTCCAGTGTCATCTGCGGAACTCCAAAATGTTCCAAAGATATTCCAATGCCATCTGCGAAGTTTCAGATACTCCAAGGATTTGCCATGGCCGCGTGCGCATTTTTAGAACACCCAAAAACATGCCAGTGCCATTGTTGTGAACTTTAAGAATACTCCAAAGATGCCCCCCTGCCCCCTGCGAAATTTCAAAGCGCCCCAGATACCGCGGTTATCTTTGATATTTCAAAATGCCCAAGGAGACGTCCACCGACCATTTGCGAAACATCACAACACCTCAGGACGTAGTGCGCGACCATCTTCGGCTATTTCAAGTCATCTAGGAGATGCCCCCGCAAGTTTTCCGGAACGCGCCACTTTGTAGTGGGCCCCGTGGCCCTTCTTCGAGAAAGCGAAAATCTGGTAGCAAGCTCCCCCCCGCCTTCGCCCGAAATCGCGCCGCTGCGGCATGTGATATAGGTAGCGGTTCAAATTCCTTTCGTCAAGGTTGCCAAACGCGCGACGAGCACTGCTGATGCGGTACCCTCGTGGGCTGAACGGCGTGCCGCACTGTTGCGGAGCGCGTGTCGTTCCGCGCCACAGAAGCGTCGCGGCTCCATTCTGCGTGCCCGATTCCGCCGGGGGACTAGCTCCCAACGCGCGCGCATCAAACGTGTAATGCGTGCAACGCACATTACGCAACTTCCAGACGGAAGAATATCAAGACTTTCGCATCAATGTGTTGATCCAGTTCTCCCGCGTCCCCGCCATCGTTGTTATTGGCAGGCATTTGCACATGGGGACGGGGGGGAGGAGGACGTGGGGGAGGAGGACCGGTCGATCGGTCGATCGGAAGATTGATGGATCGACCGATCGATAAAAAAGGATGAGCTTGCGGCGTTCCGCCAGCCCCGCGGACCCTTCCGTTTAGTTTGTGGCGTTTCTGGTTTGCCATCTGCACGTGTTGTGACCAGCGGTTGCCTTTGGATCGTCTACACGTTTGGATCGGCTGTTTTCTGGTGGTTTCCCTCGCCTGCCCTCCCGGCACGTGCTGCGTCTGTCACTTGTCTTCGAGGTGAGCCCGGTGGCGACGAACCGCGTGGAGTCGGTTGAGTGCGCAGCAGGGTCAGTTCGCTCTCGCGCGAACGCGAAACCATTGAATGTGTATCAAGTTTTTCTTGAAGCGGGAGAAATGCGGCCATAGTTCATGAGAGATTGAAAGGCGTTCCCTTTTGTCTGGCGCGCAGGGCGCTGTGTATTTTATGCGCGCCGAAACACGCACAGCACAGGGGGAAACCGCGAAAACAAGGCAATCCTCCAGCAGGGTCGCGGATGTTCCGAAGTATTTTTGGGGCATTTCTTGAGTAGTTTCAAGAATTCTGTCTTATCAACGGAACGTCTGTTTCGACTATTTCTCATTTGTTTCAAAGATTGCCTGTATGAGGACATGCCCGACATAACATTAGTTGTGATCGCGGCCGTAACTCCTGCGCGGTTCGAGCGCCCGCCCGCCAAATCACAATTTAATCGAGACACCCTGTGCTCCAGGCGTACCTGAGGTGGTCCGAAGGAAAATCCGCCATGCCCCCCATGGGGCCTCGCCAGGTTGAAAAGAACTTACGTGCCTCGCCCAGACCACATCTACTCGAAACCGGCTCGGGCGGCCACGCGGCCCGCTGGGTTTTCTTTATTGAACTCACATTTGTACGGCCCGAAGAACCCGCATGCTTGATGCATGCATCTGTGATTTGTTGGGTGGGGATTTGCTCCAGGGGGCCCAAAGGAGATGTTATGGGGCGCCGAGGTGTTCGGACTACTACGTCCCGAGGGTGGAAAGAACCGATGAACTTGCCGAGGACCCCCCGACCGCAACATGTCGGCGCGCTTATTTCGCTTCAAGGGAGCAGCCGCGATGGCTCGGAAACAGCATGGCTTAAAATGATCGTCAACAAACAGGATACCAGAACCATCTAGCGCCTCCAGTGTTATAACAGTATGCAAAACGCATGTTTGGCCCATTCCAAATGAAATTTTTATAATCGAAAAGTAATGTAAACAACCGTTGCTGAGGCAGCGTGATTACAAGACAAGAGGCGCCCAAGAGGGCCCCAAGACAGCCGAAGAGAGCGCCAAGACGGCCCAAGGGGCGCCCAAAATCGGCCCAGAGGGCTCCGGGCGGCCCCCCAAATGATCTCGGACACGCCACAAGGGTCCTCGCCAACAGGGCTCCACAACGGCCCCAGCATCTCCACCATCGTTCCGATGCGGCCTACGAGGCATCCAAGACGGCCCGAAAGGGCTCTAAACGGTTTTCCGAAACGGCCCCAATCGGCAAAAATCCTAGTTTTTCCATCGGTTGTCTATTGATTTTCGCGAGGTCGCCCGCTCCGCTTCCCGACGCTCGGAGACGGCACGCAAGGCGTGCACGGGGCCCCCGGCGCGCCCCAAGGCTGCGCCAAACCGGCCCAAGAGGCGCCCAACATGGCCTAAGTGCGCTGCAGGCGGCTTTCCAAATGAGTCTAGGCACGCCTAGTGGCTCCAGGGGTACCCAAGACCTGTCAAAAAGCTGACAGAAACAGTGTCGCTGTTGCAGCGTCGTTTCTGACAGCTTTCTGCCAGCTCTCGGGCCCCGTTGGGACTCTCCTGGCGCCTCCAGGGGGCCCTCTTGGGCCCAATAGGGGGCCCTCTTGGGCCCTCCCGGGAACCCCAAGAGTTGCGTTCGGGAGTAGTCTTGGAGCGTTTTGGAGGCCTCTTGGACATCTCGTCTGTCAGCTTTCTGTCGGCTCGGTGCTCCCAGGCCCCACGAGATTGCCAATATAATATTGGCGTTGCCTCTTGCGGACCAACTTCGGTTACAATCAGTCCTAAGCTTGCCTCGTGAGGGGCGCTTTAGGGCTGCAAGAGCTGCATGTGTCTCGTGAGAGACGCTTTCTTTCTTGCCCCCCCCATTCCCACTCTGGCCCGCGGTACTCGCTGTGCACCAGATCATGCTTGTCGTTGCTCCCCGTTGGCCTTCGTCGGACCACTGCTGTTCAGCCGCCATCTTTCCTCCTCGCCCACCTCGTCTTCACTCTTCTCCATATTCCGTCCCCTCCATCTCCTGCCACATTCCCGATGCTGTCCCGCATCAGTGCGCGTGTGCTCTACCTCCCGCCTGGGCACGCGGTCCGTCAGAGCGCTCCGCAGCTACTCGTGACTGCCCAGACTTCGAGGCGTCGCGGCCGCGGTCGCGATCGCCAGTGCTGCCCGAGCCGCGGGCTGCAGGTGAATTTCCGACGGTCACGGCCGGAATCGTGGCTCGCATCGCGGCCGCGGCGGCGGCCAACCAAAGGGGGCGACGTTCATCTAGTCGTGCAGCGCGCGGAGGAGGCCAGCAAAACCGAGGCCCGCTGCACGAAGGGCTCGTCCAGGGCGTCGCCCATGGACCCAGATGGCGATCTGGCCGACGACGCTCACCACCCACCAAATCACCCCAACCCAACCCGAAGGCTCAAATTTACCCTCGATTTCCAGTGGGGGGGGGTCGGGAAACGTCGAAAAAACACATGTGGAACCCTTACCCCCCCCAACCCGAAATTCGGGTCTTCGGGTTGGGTTGGGGTGGTCTGGTAGGTAGTCAGACGCCTAGGAGGTCGTGGCAAGTGGAAGTGGCTCAAGTCCAGCAGTGCCGCAAGGGGGCCAGGTTGGCGAGGTGCCCGACGAGTCTGTGCAGGCCGCGGCAAGTGGGAGTGGTCAACGCCCAGCAGTCGGTGCCGCACGCGCCCTCCCGTGGACGCCGCCGCCCCGGCCACGGACACCCGCAGCACCGCAGCAGCACTTGCGCTCCCTGCCGCTCTCCGCGCTGCTGCCGCGAGAGCTCCCCGCCGGGGCGCCCAATGCGCCTGACCGGCCCTGTGGGCGTCGCAGCGCGCTCCGCGCTGCCGATGCGCTTCCCCATCAGAGCGAGGCCGCCCCAGACGCGGCGCCCGCCGCAGCAGCGGATCCTTCTCCAGCGCGGTTGTCCGAGCTCGAGCGCCCCCAGTCACCTTCGAGCGGCCCTTACCACGGAAACCAGCGGGTGAATGGGGGGCCGAGGGGGGAGGTCACCTGCGAGGATCCCGACGGCGGCGAGGGGTCCATCGTCATCTCGCTGTCCAATGTGGACGACGATTCAGTGCAGGCATTCGAGACCAACAAGGAGGTGAAACTTGTCATGCCCGCATCAGCGCGTCAGGCGCTCAGGCAGCGCGCGTGCCCGGCTCCGACGACGAGCTGGCTGCCGGGAAAGCAGAATACAGCTGACCACCCCCGCTTCTCCTGGAATTTCGACACCTCCGGCGGCAGATTCTGTCTGTGCAGCGTGACCTGCGCGAGCCCAGGGAGGGCCGCCATTGGCTTTCGTGGGCTACTGACGCGGCTCCTATCAGCAACATCGCCATGGATTTCAGGGGGACGTTACTCGCGAGCCTGAGGGTGCGCATCACGAGCAGTGGGCCCATGATCGCGGGCGCGGAACACCGCCGCCATGTCACCTTGGAGGATGCGGCAGGCGATAAGATCAGCGCCATTTCGTGGTCAGGATACGCCACGGACCAGCACTTGGGAGACGGCTACTTCTACGCCAGCAACCTCGAGATCACGCGGCCCGAGTGTGTAATGTGTGGTGGAACAGCGTCATTGTGCGCGACGACTGGACCGCGCCTATGGGGTAGCAAGGCACGGCCAGGCAGTGGGCCCGCGATTGATTTCAACGCGGCCAGCCAGGGCCAGGCGCGCGGCGGCCGCTGCGCCTCTTTCTGTCGCGCGCCGCTGGCCCTCCGCCCGGGCCCGAACAGCGCCACTGTGCGCGACGACCAAACAGCTCCTGCGAGGTAGTGAGGCCCAGCCGCGCAGTGGACCCGCGATCGCACCCTTCCCCTCTCCCCCGGTATCCTTTTGATTCGCGCCTACTCGCCGCGCGCTCGTTGCCGGAACGCGCCAGCGCGTCGCTCCGGAAGACGTGTCCGAGGGCTTCGCTGCGCGGGCAGAGCTACCGCGGTGGAAGAGCAGGATGTCATCGCGAGTTCGGCTCAGGTTTGCAGCGGGCCTCCACAAGAGGCGCGGTGTTCGAGCGCCCGAGGCAGCAAACATTGCTCATGCCGCGGAGCGTGAGCCTGGAAGCACTCCTGCTCATGACGGCGTTTCTGCATGCGTCGCTGCGCAGGAAAGCTAGTGCTGTGGGGAAGCGGCTGCGCTCGATGCGCCCACATGCAACAGTTGGCATCGGGCCACGCACAGGCCCGGACTACTCCGGGCCAGCGCGTCGCGCTGTTTGCGCGCCCCTCCTCTCGCGCTTGTGCCCGCCCCGCCCCCTCTAACATCAACCCTTACCACCGACCATCACACCTTAATCCCCCCGCCTAGAGCGCCGGCAGGACAGCCCGGCCATGCCAGTTACTCTTTGCACATCGCGACAAGGATCTGTCGAATTCCACGACCGCTCCTAGTGCTCCAAGCGTCCCCGCTTGTTCCGACCAAGCTGTTAGCCCTTTTTATCCTTCCTGTCTCGTCCCCCTCAGCTTTCCTCCTCCCGATCCTCCCCATCCTTCCCTGCTCACGAGGGCGTCGCGCCGCCGCCGCCGACGTCGTTCGAGAGCGACTTTCGAGCCGAGTTCTTTCGCCGTTCCCCCGCATCCGAAGGGGATGCTCTTGGTCCACAATGCGGGCCTCCAGTGGTCCGGAGAGGTTCGCCAGGGCCGCCTTTGCATCCTGAGCTTATTTTGACGGCCCCCCGTGGCCCGCTGAGGGCCCCCATGGACTTACGACTAACCAAAACGTGCCCGCCGTGATTTTCTCACGGCGCGGGGATGCCTGGGGAGGCGGCCCCAATCCGGTCAAAAGCGGTCCCCGGACCCATCCCACGTGTCGAGGCGCCCGTTCTTCGAGCCGCGTGTCCGACCAAAGAGCGGAAGAGCGGAATGGAGGCGGTGAGGGAGGACGAGGAGGGCGAGGAGGAGGAGGAGGCCCAAAAGGAGCAGGAGGAGGAGGAAGAGGAGGAGGAAAAGGAGGAGAAAGGAGGAGGAGGAGGAAGAGGAGGAGGAGGAACAGCAGCAGTAGCAGGAAGACGCCAAATAATGTCAGGAGGATGAGGAGGAGGAAGGAGGAGCGCGCGCGTGGTTCGATTTGAAATAAAAGATAAACCCGGCGCGACCCCAATCAGGGGAAAGTTTCCTATTGCATGGGCGCGGTGCTTGGCATTGCTTGGGCGCAGTGCTTGACTTGGCAGTGTTTGGCGTTGCTTGGCATTGCTTGGCATTGCTTGGCATTTTGTTGGCATCGCTGGGCATCGCTGGGTATCGCTGGGCATCTCTTGGCATTGCTTGGCATTGCTTGGCATTGCTTGGCACTGCCTGGCACTGCTTGGCAGTGCTTGGTATTGATTGGCATTGCTTGGCACTGAGGCACCGGAGGCTGGGAACCCAGGGAGCCCGGGGAACTTGTGGAACCGGGGAACCCCGTGCAACGGGCAGCGTAACAAATGGAGGCCGCGTGGGCGGGGAACCCCTGGAACCCCGGGGAACGGGAGCAATACCGGGCACCCGGCAAAGTATCAATAGTAGGCACTAACCTTAAATTATCCAAGTAACACCTCCTGAGGCAAGTCTAATTGGGGAGTATTTTATCATGTGTGTCTGTTGCACGGCGCCGCAGCCAGCAGAGCGCAGGCCCTGCGCGTCTTCGCGCCCAGCCCGCCGCTGGACGCCGCCGGGCTGCGGGGGGCTTTGGACCTCTTCGTCGAGCAGCTGGGGGTGCTGAAGGACCCAGGCTTCCTCCTCTTCCTCCTCCTCCTCCTCCTCCTCCTCCGCCTCCTCCCCCTCCTTCTCCTCCTCCTCCTCCTCCTCCTCCTCCTCTATTCCTTTTCCTTGTAAATAGCTTCTCCCTGTCGCACCCCGAGGCTGGTCGAAAGGGAGGGCCGGTCGTTACGCCTGAGACTTCTTCACCGTTTATGACCCTGGAGTGTAAAGCATTACCATAATTTCACAGATGGAGGGTGGGTCGTTTTCAAAATGTGGCTCTCACCGCAGCGCCGCGCACACTCGTCTTAAACATTTGCAAGAGTTTCACGGATTCAGGGCGGGTCGTTTTCAAAGTGTGGCTTTTGCCTTAGCGCCGCGCACATTCGTTCTTTCCATTTGCAATATCACGGATTGAGGACGGGCAGTCTTCAACATGTGATTCACACCTTAGTGCCGCGCACATTCGTTTTTTCACCGATTGAGGGCGGGTCGTTTTCAAAAAATGGTTATCAATTTAGCACCGCGCACATTCGTCTCAAATATTACAATAGTTTCAAGGATTCCCCTGGTCAACCTTCCCGAAGTGGTATGTTGGAAAGGTTCAGGATCATGAGGGTGCAACAATTACTTTGATTCGCGGTGTTGAATTCCCAGGAATGGCGTTCTGGCGCGATTCAGGATCGTCAAGGCGCAACAGTCAGGAGTCCCGAGAGTTGGCTCGCTTCAGACTCTTGCAACGTTTGTCTTCCGACGGGGTAGTTCCCTCAGTGGAAATTAACCGATGTAGGGGCCTGTGAAGAGGGAGCTTGTAGGGAGGGTTTATTCGAACATCGTTGACCAATCTTGGGTCTACACTGGTCCTCCTCCTCCTCCTGCTCCCCCTCCTCCTTCCGTAGCGATTTTGGCTCAAGGCCAAGATGGTGTCCACTTCAATGCTTTCACTGGGTAGGCTTCAACCAGTCGCGCAGACTTGCCGCTGCAATCAGGGGCTGGCGGCCGCCCGTCCCAGTTTCGCCTGCTACTCGCTCTAGCCTTAAAGGCGGCCTTCCATGTCTGCTCGTCGGGCCCAGCTCCGAGCCTTCCATATCTGCTCGTCGAGACCAGCTCCGAGCCTTCCATACCGATCGTCGAGCGCGGCTCCGGACCCTTCATATCGCCCGTCTGGCCGCTGGCCTTCAACCAACTGGCCTGCCATCGCGCTCTTGTTGCGCGCCGCCCCTGGCCGCTGGCAGTCTGGCAGACACGTGCTCATCGTGGGCTTCAACCACAGCGTGCCCTTCGAGACCAGCTCGCAGCCATGGCCATCAGCAACAGCTCCAGCGGCAAGAAGCGCTCGGCATCTCGTAGCCTCCCGTCATCACAAGCCTCACGACGCCGCCTACAGATTTTCCAACATTCTCAAATGTTGCTCAGCGGGCCTCTCGCGCCGCATGTCGAACACGTTCGAACGCCCTTGCGCGCGTGTTGAGGGGGGGGGGGTCACGACCCGTGGAAAATCACACCGCGCGGGCCACTCGCGCGCGTCGGCCGCGCGCGCATGTCGAACTCGGAAATTGGAGCATATAATTACCAGTGGCGGGCTGTTTTGCAATCCCAGGACTTTTTGAGGGTCGGGGGCGACGTCTGGGTGGTGCTGTGTATACTTGTTTCCCCGTTTTCCCGTGGAAGCAACAAAAGTATGTATACACCAGGATCCCGTATACACCAGGATCCGCTTTCTTGTGCGAGTTCCAGTGCGGGGCCGAGAAAAGCGTCGGTGTATAGAGTTCGGTTCTTTACGAACTCCTTGAAAACCCTTCATCGCCGACGCGAGGGCATCGTTATCGTTATCGGCGGGCGTGATGAACATCGGCGCCGCGATTGGCCTCGCCGTCGTCACCGCCACCCTCGCCACCATCATCGCTACTCTCATAATCGCGTCTACCGCTGTCGGCGTCGCTGTGATATTACGCCCGCCCAAGTCGCGGAGTCGCACAACGGCGGACGCTGGGAAGTGCCAGTGCCAGGCGGTCACCGCCGCCGCGGCCACGTCGGTCGCGCCAGGTTAGCGGGCCGCTGCGCGCGCGAGCATGCGCGGGTTTGCGCGGCCGCAGAGATGCGCCAGGCACTCATCGCCATCGCCGCCGCAAGGGTGATGCAATCAAAATTTTGGGTGGGTGGGTGAGATGCCTGCAAGGGCATGGCATTTGCCAATTCTCTTGTAAGCATCAATAGCACTACATATTTTGCACCACGCATATTGTACAACCTAGACTGCGTTGCATATGTTACACAACCTCGGTTGCCCTAGTCAGATTGCACAACATCTATTCAACAGCATGGATTGCACCGCGTTGATTCCCCTGTCCAGAATACTATTCGGATGTACCCTCCCCCCGGACCTAACGGTCGCTTATTTGCAATGCAGTGTACGTGTGCTTCCGCCCCATAGTCCATCCGAAATTTGAATTCGTACCATCCCAGAAAATTCCTTATTGTTCCCCACTTCGTCCACTGCAGAAGAACTATGCGCGCACTCGCTTATCACAAGTCATCTGTTGTCAAGAATCACTTGCGAAGGAATGGGCGAAGTGCGTGCGCGCGTCGCCGCGCGCGCATATTCCAAGAGCAACCAGGTTTCGCAATAATTCCTGTATCGAGGGGCCCGAAAACAACTTCAAACACAACCAATGGTTTCGCAACCGGAAGTTTCACAAAAGCATGCGCTCGCGCTCGAGCGAATTCTCCAGAATCTCGTGCGCATTTCGAAGCCGTTCGAACGCCTTTGCGCCCGCGTTGTTGCAAACAACGGCACCATCACACCGCCACCACCCAGAACCCATCGGGGTATGACGACCCTTGCCCTTTGGCGGTGGCACTCCCGAGCGTCGTCCTGTACTGGGTGATGCTCAGCGCCCGAGCTGCGTGTCACAACCAAGGGGTCGCCCCCCTCCCCAACCCAATGGATTCCTGGTGGCGGAGGCTGCGGTCCCTGTTTCTCCACCGAGGTAAGGTCCGCCATGAATTCAACGAAACGTCATAGTTCGCCGAGCGCGTTCCACTACTCGTAAGGTGCCTACTCGCAAACGTCAGAGAAAAAAAACATACGTTTGCCTTGGTGTAATTTATCGTACATTCCCTGCGACAGATCCAGGCCAGTTGCGAGTAGCGACTTTGCGAGCAGTGGAACGCGCTTGTCGAACAGTTCGAAGCAGATGTGTGTGCTTGCGTCAGCTCGGGGCTTGGCCAGAGCGCACGGCGGTAATTTTTGTCGGCGGCGCCCAGAGGTCCAACAGTTCTGTCCCCCGCCAGGTGCGCCCCGGAACCTGGCGGAACACGTTCTAGCTAAGATATTGAAGCGGATCCTGGCGTGGCCACGAGGCCCCCCCCTGAGGTCCACAAGCCACAAGATGAGGAGGAGGAGGAGGAGTTGGAGGAGGAGGAGGAGGAGGAGGAGTTGGAGGAGGAGTAGGAGGAGGAGGAATAGAAGGAGGTGGAGGAAGAGTAGGAGGAGAAGGCAGAGGACGGCAACGACGACGAAGACGGCGACGTCTCTGGAGGCTTCCGGAGGTGTCCCGAGGTCCCTCCCGAGGTCCCTCCCGAGATCCATGGGGCCTCCAGAGTTTCATGGAGCCTCCAGCAGCCTTGCCAGGCAAGAATGTGCAAGATCATATAGAAACCGTGCGTGCCAGACCCCCGACGCAATGATTGTTTCAATGACGTCGACACCCGTACAGAGGTCTCGACCCATTCCCCAGGACTGGCTCGACGACGTCGCACGACGACGCACGGAGGGCGGCGGGCGGCAGATGGCTGGTGACCCACGGCGGCAGGCAGCGCGTCGTTCGTGCAGGCGTACGGCCTGCTGGAGCGGCTGGCGCAGACGAACGCGCTGGGCCCAGAGCCGCGGCTCCTCTGCGCCTCCCTCCCGTGCCGCTCCCGACCGCCCCCCCCCCACTTCTCCTATCCCCTAGGCCCTAGCCCTCCTCCCTCTGCTCCTGCTCCTCCTCATTCCCCATCTTCCTCATCCTGCTCGTCCTTCAATTCATGCCCCCCCCTCATCCATCCTACCTCGCTCCATCAGCGGTTATGACGCTTTGCATCTGGCTGATTTTTAGCAGGAGGCCCCCTGCGTGAGCCTGCTGCCGAGCGCACCCACTCCTATGCATCCAGAATGCAAGAGGGTGAAGAGAAGGAGGAGAGGAGGAGGAGGAGGAGGAGGAGGAGGAGGAGGAGGAAGAGGAGGAGGAGGAGGAGGGAGGAGGAGGAGGAGCCAGTAAGTGGGAAGGAGGAGTGGAAGGCGAGAGAACGAGGGGATGATGATATGGATGATGATGATGATGATGATGATGATGATGATGATGATGATGATGATGATGATGATGATGATGCTGATGATGATGATGATGATGATGATGATGATGATGATGATGATGATGAATGATGATGATGATGATGATGATGATGATGATGATGATGAGGAGGAGGAGGAGGAGGAGGAATGAACCTGGAGGTGTAGGAGAGGTGGTGGAGGAGGGGGAGACGCAGGGAGAGGGGGAGGAGGAGACGGAATGTTGTTGATGGATTTCGAACCGTAGTGCAAGTCTAAGTCCATGAGAAGATCTTCCTTCCTGGCCTGCCCGTGCCGTCAGCCAAGTTTGTGTGACACGTTGCTGAATCGTTGTTTCTCGTACGAACGTTGCAGGCCACGCACCTAGAGTTCGCCCAACGCACCAAGGAGGAGATGGAGGAGGAGGAGGACCTGAGGAGGAGGAGGAGGAGGAGGAGGGCAGGAGGAGGGCAGGAGGAGGAGGGCCAGAACGATCTGGAGGACTTGGAGGACCAGGCGCAGAAGGGGCGAGTTGCAGGACGAGGTGTGGTCGACGCCCCTCGTCCAGATCCCCGCTCCCGCGCTCCCTGCTCCCCGCGGGGGTGTGCTCGACGCGCGCGCATGGCTCCTGGGTCCTCACCCTCCACCTGGGGCCTCCGCATGCCGCCCTCGACGGGGTGTTGGTGGCGGCACAATCCATCCGTCGTGCTCCAATTCTCCCCTCTTCGTCCTTCCTCCTCCTCCTCCTTCTCCTCCTCCTCCTCCTCCTCCTCCTCCGCCTGCTCCTCCTCCTACTCCTCTTCCGCCTCCTCTGGCTTCTCCTCCTCCTCCTCCTCCTCCTCCTCTTCCTCCTCCTCCTTCTCTCCCCCACCCGTCCGCAGGGATCGCCTCCTTCTCCTTCTCAACTTCTTTCGTCTTGCCTTCGTTGTTCCTCCGCTGCCAGCTCCTCCCGAGACCTCAGACCCCAGAACCCCAGACGGCCCAAGAGGGCCCGAAGATGGCCCAGGATAAACCCCAGAAGATCTCAAGAGGGTCCAAGACTGCGATTACACATCTTCCTCCTCCTCCGTCGTTCTCCTACATATTCCTCCTCGCCTATTTCTTCCAAGAAGTCACATTGGTGCGCCAGTAGGACCTCCGTACTACCGCAGCAGACCACACCATCAGGCAATCATTCTGTGTTTGATGAGTTCTGAGATCTGCAAGCTTTTGGCAGAGGCAGCTGCACGGCGTCTCTGATAGAGGAGAGGCCACAGCGCACCTACAAAGGCCACGAGATAACCCCTATTGCGCAATCGATGACTTGTGGCTCTGGCTTATCATGGCCCAGGTCCCTCTTCCACGCTTGTGTGTGTGTGCGTGCATACATGTCTGCACACGTTACACATAGCAAAGTGGGTATATCCCGGACCCCCGGTCCCGTTCCTCCTCGTCTTGAGCGGCGAGACGGGGCCGAGGCCTTCGCGCTGCTGTTCGACTGCGCCGACCCCGACGGGCTCCTGTGCGCGGTCGTGGCGGCCTGCGTGGAAGCCGCGCGGGTCAACGAGGCGTCGACGGGGCCGTCGCCGTCGTCGTCGCCGGGGGGAAAGGGAGGAGGAGATGATAGAAAGAAGGAAGGAGGAGGAGGAGGAGGAGGCAAAGAACATGCGGCTACGCAGAAGATGCAGAGGGAGGACTGGAGTGAGGACACGCAGACACGCATAAGGAGGAGGAAGGGGAGGAGCACAGGGAGGAGCCGACTCAGGAGGTGGAGGCGTGGCTACGCGGCGGCACACGTGGCCTGTGCGCCGTGTCGTGCCGTGCCGTCTCCACCCGCCTCTGCCCGAGCCTCGGCAGGACGCGGGCCGAGGCGGAGAGGAGGGACTGCGCCTGCGTGGCTGCCGGCGGCCCCCGGTGGTGCCGTCGGGTCTGCCAAGTCCGCGGGTTGCTTGGCTTAGCTGTTTGTTTGCTGATTGGTGCGACATGGTGTTGCCTCAGCCATGTGTTGTGTTCGTTGTTGTTTCACGTGTTGTGTTATGTGATTGTTTGGTTCGGTGTTGTTTGTCTGCCTTTCTTGGTGGCTGGGGGAGGAGGAGGAGGAAGAAGAGGGGTAGGAGGCAGGAGGAGGAGGAGGGCAAAGAGGCGGAGAAGGGAGGAGAAGGGAGGAGGAGGTGGTAGCACGGTGAGGAGGAGGAAGAGGAGCAGGAGGGGCAGATGGCCCGAGTCTCCAGTCGAGCTTTTGAACTTTAGGATTGTCTGAGTGCTCTGTGCTCGAGATGCTCGTGCAGCCATCCTGGGGCTGGGAGCAGCACGTCCGACGCTGTTGGCTAGCCCGGCTCGGGGCCCGCCTCGCCACTGCCGCTTGGCCTTCTCGGCGTTGGGCTCGACCTGCCAAGATTGGCAAGGCCAGGGCGGCTGACATGCAGTCAGGACGCTCAAAGAAGGACCACTGGCTATGAGGCGGGCTCTGGTTTTTGGACCGTCCCTGAAATCTAGGTCGGGAGTCGTATTCGTGGCCGATGCCCGCCCTGGTTAGACAAGCTCCTGTGTTCCTTATCTGGCGCCCCTCATGGTAGCACGATTCTTGTTTTTGGGCGGGTCTTACATCTGCTGCTCAAACCTAGTGGCAGCGCGGTTGGTTCCACACTGCTGGCAGCTGCCAGAGAAGTTGCTCTGGGGTGGCGTTTTGTTGTGGAACGATACGTAGGGCTGGTCCTGTCAGCGAGCATTGGCCGAAGGGAGCGGAGTTCGAGACGCACAGCGTGCGCACAGCAGGTGTGCCGATTCAGAATGTCCGCTACAGGCAGGTGGTGCGCGCTCCTCGCATCATCCAGGTGGCAGGGCTGGGCCGCGGGAGCTGCCAGCCGACCTCCAGCGGCCCGGGTCAGTTGGCTGAGGTTGAGTGAGATGCATAAGCATGGCCGTTTGGGGCTCGGGTCGCCCCCCACACCCGACGCCCTCGTCCTCCGCTCTGCTTCGTCCTCTGGTCTCCATCTTCCCTGGCGGCACGCCTCAGGCTTGTTTCGCGCTGTCGTTGAGGAACACACTGCAGCAGCTCAGGCTAGCTCCTCGAGCCGCCATCCAGCAGTCACCCGTCCGAGGTGTGCCCCCCCGGGCTTCAGGCACCGTGGATGCCGCCCCCACAGGATAGAAACGTGCTTGCTATCTCTTCTCCAGTGGATAGCGGCGGAAGGTGGCGGAATGAGAACGAGGGCGCTTCCGCCAGCGGAAGCAGGCGGAAGTAGAGTTGCGCCCCCGAGGGATGCCAACTTTTGGGGGGATCCAGGGTTTCCGGGGCCCGCCACCCAGTATGGCGTTCCAGAAAGGCCTTGCCATAGAAGTTGGAATCCCTTACTCGGCTGCAGGTTGGCGGAAGCAAAGGATGGCTTGCGAGAGTAGTCGACATGCTTGGGCCCAGGGCTTACGGAGCGGTCACGTGGGCCCATGCTGTTGGAAGCCCACAGCGAGTTACGTGGGCGCTTGCCATTGGAATCCCCCACGGATCTGTCCGCAATCTGGCCTCCTTGCGAGCCTCCTAGCTGTGTCCAGCTCGGCGAGCGGGAGTATGTCTCGAGATCGTGCAGCACATGCTCCGGGCCAGTATGCCGACCCTTTAGTCAACTTCAGGGCTGTGTTAATCGCGGTGCGGCCTTCTGAGGGAATGGCATGTCCCTCGTGAGGGGGACGTTAGGCGTAATGGGATCCGAGGGCTGAGAATCGGCAAGTGAAGGTTAGGTCCAGGGGCTCCCGCGTAGCGGCACGGCTGAGACATTCTGCAACGGGCGTTTTGTGGAGGTGGAGTGACCTCTATAACTGATCGGCCAGATTGCAAGAGGCCACAGCAGTGCACAAGGGTAACTTTGCGTAGGCGAGTCGTCAGCGACGCCCTCACCACCGAAAGGACACGAGTATGATAAGCAGTGCGTCAAATTCTACGAAGTCCCAATCGCCATCATGTTGGCGTCTTGACCATGTCGCCCCGACTCGGTTCTATGCCCCTCATCTTAGGCATAAGCTTAGCATGCAAATCATCCCGTCCCGTCTTCTCCCCGCCCCTCCATCCATCCCCTTGGTCCCCGTTCAAGTATACATCCTTGAGAGAGCGTCATCCACCGCCGCTTTACTGTGGAAAATTCCCTCCCCTCTTCCTCCGGAACCCGCCCCAGCCCCCCTTCGAACCCCCCCCCCCTGCTGGACCCCCCCTCCCTCCCTCCCTCTTTTCCCTGGCAAACGCCCCCCCCTAAACCCTCCCCCCCCTCCGGAAAAACAGGGGGTGTCACTACCGGTTCGAACCCCCCCCTCCAGAAAACCGGGGGGGGGGGGGTCACGACTGGTTCGAGCCCCTCCCCCCCTCACCGTCGGCAAACGACTCTCGGGTCCCCACCACCGTCCGCACTACATCCCCCACCGCTGTCCCCAGCACCACCGTCCCCACCACCACTGTTCCCACCACTGTCCCCACCACTGTCCCCACTGTACCCCTATCCCATTGTCCCACCACCGTCCTCGCCACCGCCCTTACCAGTGTCCCCACCACAGCCGTCCCCACCACTATCCCACTGTCCCCACCACTGTCCCACTGTCCCCACATCACTGTCCCAAGCACCACCGTCCCCACCACTTTCCGACTGTCCCCACCACTGTCCCAGTGCCCCCACTGTTCCCACCATTGTCCCTGCTGTCCCCACCAGTGCCCCCACCAGTGTCTCACTGTCCCCACTGTCCCCACCATTGTCCCACCACGGTCCCACTCTCCCCATGGTCCCCACTGTCCCCACCACTGTCCCACTGTCCCCATTATTCCCGCCGTTGTCCCACTGTTCCCACTGTCCCCGCCGCTGTCCCACTGTGCTGTCCCACTGTCCCCACTGTCCCGACCACTGTCCCACTGACCCCATCACTCTCCCACTGTCCTGCTGTCCCCTCACCACTGTCCCCACCACCACCGTCCCCACCACTGTCCCACTGTCCCCACCAGTGTCCCACTGTCCCCACACCACTGTCCCCACCACCACCGTCCTCACCATTGTCCGAGTGTCCCCACCACTGTCCCACTGTCCCGAGGAGCGGGAATCGTTTGCCAGCGGCGACGGAGGGGGGGAGGGTGCGAACCGGTAGTGACCCCCCCCCGTTTCTTGATGGACGGGGGTTGAGGGGGGGTTCGAACCGGTAGTGACCCCCCCCCCTGTTTTCGAGGGGGGGGGGGAACTCCCAGTGACCCCCCCCTGGTTTTCCGCCAGCAGTGGTAGAACACGCTCTTTCACATCCTTTGACCTCTCCTGGGGCGCGCCCCGGCCAGGATTTCGTAGGGAATCCAGCCTGTGACGACGAGAAGCTTTTTGGAGGCCCTGCAAGAACCTAGTGACGCATAGAATCTTCGAAATTCTCTCCCTCTGCGTCCTCACCGCATTGTTTATTTATGTATTTCCTTATATATATATATATATATATATATATATGCACATCGATTCCCCAAACTGTGCTTGCACTTAGGATTCCTTGTTCCTGTTCTAAGGAGCCAGGCCGTGTCTTCAGTCTGGCGGCTACGTGGCCGCCCCGTCGCCGCCTCGTCGCCGCCCGTCGCCTTGGCCGTCTCTTCGGTCTGGCGGCTATGTGGCCGCCGTCGTCACATCGTCTCCGTCCGTTGCATTGCGTTGTATGGCTTTGCTTCGCAATGCTTTGCGCAACCGAGTTTGCACGTCATAGACTGCACCATGTAGCCTGCACAACATATATGGTACCATATATATATATATATGGCACAGCGTACATTGTACACCATAGATCGTACAATATAGCATAGCTTGCACAACATAGGTTACACAGCGTGTATCGCACAACATGGGTTGCACCACAGTGATTGCTTAATATAGTGCACCCCCTTATATCGCTCTCTCTCTACACATAATTAATGCACACACCAGGTTGCACATCATATAGCGCACAGCATAGATTGCACGATTCATATTGCACCACACGGATTGCTGCACACATATTGCTAGAACGCGCAGCTTGGGGTCCACGCTGGCTTACAAACACGCACACATGTATATATATATATATATATCTATATTAATAACTACGCATATGAATATGAGCAGGTATGTACACCTATATATGTATGTATGTATGCATGTATGTATGTAGGTAGGTAGGTAGGTAGGTAGGTAGGTAGGTAGGTAGGTAGGTAGGTAGGTATGTATGTGTGTATACATATATATATATGTATATATATATATATATATAGATACATACATATACCCGTGCACGAGGCCCGGCCGCCCCGGGACCCGGGGCTCGGGGGGGCATGGGAGGACCAGGGTTTCCCAGACCGCTCCCAGAGCACCCCGGAGGGGCCGTGGAGCCCCCAGACTGCCCCAGAGAGTGCAAAGACGCTCCCAGAAGCCCCCGGGGGACTTCGACAAGCCCCCCCAACACAGCCCAGATAGCCCTAACTTGGCATCATATGGGTTCCAGACCGGAAATACATAGCCCAAGAGGCATCCGAGAGGCCTCAAGAGACCTCCGAAAGGCGTCCCGAGAGAGCCTGACGAGGCCCAAATCCTTG